GCCTACGTTGTGACAAGTATGCTAATGTATGAAGTGTTAAAGCAGTTATTTGCAAATTCATCATTTTTTTTTTTCTTTTTGTAGGTCAAACCTGAAGTGTTAAAAGTCAAATGGTCTGATAACATACAGTGGCAGACAGACATGCCAGATTTTGAAGAAGATTCAAAGAAAATGTTGCAGAAGACTTTGGAACAAGAGGAAATCGAGAAAAAAGATGAAAAGCCGTTTGCAAAAGTCGACAGTAACTCCGGCTTAACAGATGGCGGGTAAGAACTCCTAGTTACATAATAAGTGTAGCTTGGTTGTTTAAATGCATCTTCACTCTCAAGCCTCCTAATAAAACTTAGTTTTAATTAATTAATTAGGAGGGTTGGTATGAAAGCCTTTTATTTTTCTAACTAAATACAAAATGAAAGCATCCTGTGTATAATTTTTTATTTCTAGCGAGGTATTGATTGATACTGAACAGAACATTCCATACAATGCTGTAATGACAAAGGTAGAGGTTCGCTATGGATTAAATGGAATGAATAATTTCTACAAGTTACAGGTAATATATTAATAATTGATAATTATTAATCTAATTAGTGATTATAATAATCATTTATGACAATATTGTTTAGTATTTTGATGCAGTTGTAAGGCAAAACATCACTTCTATAATATTGTTTAGGATTTTTTTTATTGTGCTAACACTCTGCCCACCAAGCACGGAGACCTCCGTGTTTGGTAACACAATGCTTGACGCCGAAAACACAGAGATCTCCGTGTTTCAGGTTTTTTACGGAATCCGATAGATGGGGTAATTACAGACATGTACTAACAATTTGAACACTATATTCAGTCTGGAGTATTTCACTATTTGTTTGTTTACATTAGCATAGAGCAGTATTGATTTACTTTTTAACAAAATCGCGATTATCTGAGCTTTGTTGTACGAAATTGCGTAAATCTCCAATAGTGAGTCATTTTCATTTTACTGTTACGGGTCACAGATTGTGATTATAATAAAGTGTTTGGTACCATTGTAAAGCTAAAATATCTGTAGTCCTTGTAGTATTCACTACATCTCAATCTGATCACATACACACTCTCAACGAGCTTCGGAAAAGTGTTAAAATTTGATAAAAAGTCTGGCAGTGGCTGATACTACTTTTTCAAACCCCTGGCGGTCAGAGTGTTCATAGTCATTGAAGATAAAAAAAAAATTCACTTTGATTCTAGCTGAGTGAAAATTGTTTTATCATGTGGTCCCAAATAACCCACAGTATCCATATTAAAGCAAGGACCTTAGAATTTGTAAACTCGAGGTCTAACATAGAAAACACAGACACAAAATATGACTCAAAAGTTAAATAGTATCCAAATGGTCTGTCTCGTCACAGTCAAAGCAGCATCACTTATATATCTGCAATTAGTGATTTAGTCAGTGATCCTTGTTTGTTTGACTTTTTGTTGACTGAATTTAAATTCTGTTCCTAGGTAATCCATCAAAAGGGCAAAGACGTATATGCTCTGTTCACTTGCTGGGGCATGATTGGGCATGAGGGGCAGTATCAGTGCACCCCCTTCTCAACAATGGATGAGGCCGTCAAGGAGTTCCTGAAGGTGTTTAAAAGCAAGACTGGCAATAATTGGAGTGACGTTAAAAAGTAAGACATTCTCAAACTCAAATATTTTAATAATAATAGGTAGATTTTAAAGCGCAAATAAACAAGGCCTCTAAGCGCTAGGTCCAAATAAAAAAAATGGCAAAATGAAAATAATTCCAACATACAATTATATGAGGCTTACCATCCAAAAACCTGCATTAATGACCAAAAAATATAAAGGTCTATAACAAATTGTTGTCTGCTCAGGGAAAAGAAAATTATGTGGAAGATTACATTATGACGTCATGAGTGATTGACAAATACCTGTTAACTGCCCAAATATGGGTATGTTATGACATCACTAATGTGCAAATCCCATATTTGTCACAAAGTGTCGACAGACTGCAGGAATTTACTCAATGTTGGATGAATGAAAGTATTATTTAACATGATTTTATATTTTGTAAACTTTATTTTTTTCAGTTTTGAGAAACAGCCAAAGAAGTATCGGCTAGTTAATGCTGAACCGTATAAATCCAAGAAGGTATATAAACAAGATAAGAATGCTTCATTAGACGTTACATTGCCCTCCAAGTTACCCAGTCCTGTTAAAGATGTGATGAAAAGTTTGGTAAGATTTCACACTTTCAATTGAAAATCATGTAATTTCAAATATAGAGAAAAAAGAGAATAAAAGATTATTAATTTGTTTACATCAACTACATAACCCTTTGGGACAATTTTGTATTTTCTACAGGTTCTTTCTAGTGTACACTTTTTGTAAATTTGTTTTAATTATAATTTGCTTTTCTCAGACAAATCACAAGATGTACGAAGCATCAATGAGAGACATCCACATCGATGCAAACTACTTCCCAACCCGCTATATCTCTCGTGAAATTCTTATGGAGGCCAAAACAATACTAGGAAAAGTGCGAGACAAAATCAAAGAAATCGACCGCCTTCGCAACGAGAACTTGATACAGGAGATTGAGAAATACCAGGGCTTGATGGAAGAAGTATGCATAAATTTTAATATCTTTAGGCGAGACTTTTTTAATACCTTGTCTTAGCAAATCCGCCGCCCTCCAATAATGATGATTTCGAATAAAAATAAACATTTTATTTTTGGCCAATTAGTGCACCCACTGCCACAAAAATATTGAAATTTCAGGAAAAAAATAAATGTTTTTCTCCCCCCCCCCCCACTGCCTTGAAATTTCAGAAAATAGGATATGTATAATATTTCTTCCTAATTATATAAATTTAAAGCATTTAACCATCCCATTACACTGTTTATATTCACCAATAAAATTTTATTCTTATTTTCTCCTCTATCTGGATTTTGGCAAAACTTGCTATATTTTTTCCCCCCGACAATCTTTAAAATACTAAGTTTGTGAAACATGGTATAAGTCTTGCCTTACAATGCAATGGAAAGATTTAAATAATTTAATCCCATTCTCTTAAAACAAATGTTGGAGGTCAAGAAGACATCACATTATATTCTAATGAAGAACTTAGAACAGATGGTTGACTATATCAAGCTTACCTCCAATGGATTGCTATGTATTTAACCCGATTTTTCTAATTGACCTAGTAAAAACAGTGGCAACTTAGTTTTTATATTACTTCAACATGAGCAAGTTAATTTAACAAAAGATTATTATGACTTTTTTTCTGGGGTCAAAACATCTTAGAAAAACTAATTTCTTTCTTTTTTTTCTTTTTTTTGCTTCTATCAAGATTAACCTCCTCAGCAATGAATTTTATGAGCTCATCCCTCACATCAACTTCTCATATACAAACACATCACCGCTTACGGATGATAATACACTCAAGGAAGCTGCCGAACTCATTGCCAACCTACTAGACTATGAAGTCGCCAGTAAGGTCATCCTAGCAGCTCGCTACCGTCAACAAGGTACACTACCTAGTGTTTTTTTTAGGTGGAAATAAAAATATGTTTTTCCACACTCCATATTTTCTTTTTTATCAAGTTACTTCTTTTTATGTCTAAATATTCTTATTTCCATGCGCATACTTATGTTTCTAACATGGTCATTGGAATAAACACCTGTGCAACATACTGCTGTAGTCTGTGCATAGTTGTTTGGACCTACCAGGTACCCACTTATATTCATGGGTGAAGAGGAGACAAACGTAGATAAAGTACCTTTGTACAAGGACACAAACAAAATTCACAGTGATGGTTCAAACCTTCGACCTCAAGGTTAAGATTCCAAATCTCAACCACTTTGTCAACTGCAGTTGAGATTTTCAAACATACCGATCCAAACATTGTCATGTTACTATTTCATTTTTGTTATATCTGTTTGTGTAGCATTACTACTATTATTATATGGATCATATTCAAATTATACACACATTTTAAGTCCTGTCCAGATTAACACAAGACTCATATTTTATTTGCTAGTATGTGTGAATAATACACATATTTTAAGCCCAGTTCAGACTTATCAAATTTTATTTGGCAAAAATTTGTGACATGCCTAAATATGGTCATGATGACATCACATCTGACAATATATAGGCACATCATGACTATATATGGACACATCATGACTCTATATAGGCACATCATGACCATATATGGGTATACAACAGTTTTTTGTCAAAGAAAATTTGATAGCCTGGACAGAGCCTAAGGTGTAAAATAATAAAGAGCTTTCGATTTGCACGACGAAGTGACTCTAGATTCACTCATGCATGACCAGCTTACATTCTCTGCGCAACATAGATTTGGCCAACTTGCGTCCTAGAATTCACACAACGAGGAGAACTTAAAGCCCCATTCCCGGCAAAATTTCACTAAAAATGACTTTTTTTAGAAAATATGCATTTGCAT